CTGAAGTAAATATTCTTCGCTGAAAGCAGATCTGCATCTACTTCCAGCCTTTTTCCATCATCTCCATCGGCGGTACCATCCAATTAAGTTCTGGTCTTGTCTTAAACTGGTCAAGCTTCGCTACCGTATGTGTTTCCTTTTGCACAGAATGAGCTTATCGTTACATCTGACCTCTAAGGAAGAGACCGGCATTCTCGCAGCAGTGACATTCCGGTTTGTTTCCAGCATCATTAGAAAATCACCTAGTGCACTTACGGTCTGCAAGACATCTGACGGGAAAGTGTGACTTGCACCACTACTCTAATGACACCCTCGTATTCGCCAAGATCAGCACTGTTTCAAAGTAAAAAGTGGAGAACAGTACTGAATAGAAAGGTTCAGGTACACATCTCTGACATTTCTTAACGTAACAACACACATCTCTCTGGTGAACTCCGTAGTTAGTATGAAACCATTCATGTGCCCTTTTTAGAGCATACATCCTTCCTACACATACTTGTTACAAAACGAATATGATATGTTTAAATTTTAAGATTTCCCAATCGTTTAACGATTGATTCAGCAAAGCGTTAACAAGGAGAAGTGGCAAATAGAGGCAGCTGAAATCGTCAGCATCGAACAGCTAATATTTTGTCATAGCAAAAATATCTCGTCAAGAAACCTGCCTGACTTTCGCAAAGTTCCAAATCAACAACATTTGTCAGCGTCATCGCATTCTTTTATCACCTGAGATTCATTATATTTGAAGTGTCTAAAGCGTTTTTGCCATTTCCGTCCAACTGTATTTCATTGACTCCGGAGGATTCGATCGACACTGAAGGCTTTCCTCATACTGAGATATAGCAACGAGTTTTAGATCTCTTCTTAAGATAGATCTTCATTAATATTGAACGGCAGTATATGATTAACTGCCGGGATGGATAAATCGGGACAACAGCAGTTGAGGCGCAGCTGGAAATGCTCAAAAGATCTTTTGCGGTTATGCCATAATTATATGGAACCTATACTAAAGTAGTAAACTGAACAGTCATTAATCCCACATTAATTTATTCAAACCATCTTTCGTTAATTTACATTTACGTTCAAGCGAAGTTCCTGGCTGACAGCTGCAGGCTATGCAGCAGAACGAAGGAAGTTTCCTATTACAGAAACAATAGGGATAAACTGGAGAGCCCACCAGTCACTTACACTTGATACTTTTGTTGATAACAACAAAAGGGCGAAATTCAGACACTTTTCCATTATCAGATACTGCCTGTCATCGTATTACTGGTACTTACGAATCATTATGAAATGTACGGTACAAGTTATGGTGTGACGGAAGGAGCCAGGTTACAGCAAAGCTTAACACTAAGTAATTTAAAATAATATGCCCAAAAATAGAAAGTGTTCCATTAAATTCCAATAAACCCTGTTTCTTATTTTTTTTCTGTTCACTGTTGAACACCTTAGTTTCAACAACAAACTGTTGCAGCAGCTGACAGCTTCCGGTCTGTGAATCAAAGAAGATTCTGACTGGAATTTAGCCATAAATTTCGTTCCAGCTGCAAGTCACGTCAAAAGCAAGAAGCGGCTAAAAGCGGCTCAAAATTACCAGCTTTAAATTATATATGTATCCAGTACCTCAATGACTTTGAAAAAGGCGTGTGAACACCGGATCGATTACATGCTCCACTTGCGGCTATCGAGTGTATGTTTACATGCGAGAAACAGAAAGATGATCGCTTTTTCACGTTTACGCATGCTATTGTTTCAGGTTCGAAAGGTAGCCACAATTCACTGCTTAAGCGTCAGAAACAGCGAACGACATCTACGTACATTTTCAATATAAAAACAAACGAAAATCTTTTAGAACAACTTTACAAGAGTATTAATAATCTTTCGGCCACGTAAAGAAGCACATAAACAACTCACCTTTGATGTCCGGACTTCTAACTCTTGATCACCGAACTCGCAAAGTTCCTTGACTGACTGGCCATCGACACATTTAGCTACCAACTCCACCAAGACACCGTTGACGATTTCGGAAGCAGATGTGTACTTTGTTACGACGATATCCTGTGCAATCGTCGGCTCAACTTCTCCGCCGGTTTCCGGATCCCTCTCTGACATTTCCACTGCCTAAGCAGAACGCTCTGTATGAAAAATGCTTTACAAGACGTAAGCATAAAACGCAAAAGTAGGAAATACCAGAACAAAGGATGCACTAAAAGCAGTCCAAAACCGCTTACCAAAAAAACGTTTTAATACAAAACATCATACTTTACATACAATGCAAGTTCGCGAAACATTAAAATATATCTGCTAACATCACAGTCGATTAACAGGCAAATCGATTTGTACTTGAGCCACTTTCTGCATGGAACCTTAAATCCAGCGGGAACAAAAATTACAACTCTTAGTCAGATTATCGAAAGATCATTAACTTCTTTGGAAATAGAATATTTTAATGCCAAAACCCCTTAGATGATACTTTGTAGCTGTACGTAGGATATCATTTTCTAAAACAGAAAAATGACATTCAGCGGTACCATGGCGGGAGAGTTGTCATTACAGTATTTATTATTTGTAGGTACTGATTGATCGTAATGCGATATGTCGCTTTATCGCAAAACGTCTTTCTTATCAATATCAAATCAATCGAAAGAATTTGCTGCTTAAATTAGCAGAAATGTCACGTACAGCTCTTATCGTCTAATACTTCAGCAATCACGCCCTCTTTGCCTAATAATATGCCAACAATGCACAAGCAGACAACAACGAAATATGCATAAATTATGAGACATGGAATAAATAATCATGAAGAAGAGGCGAGCTAGTAATAAAATGATAATGCACATGAACACCTAATATACGAGGTAGCATATGAGCAACGAGAGTCAGAGTTTTTTAGAGTCCGAGCCATCTGCGGGATCAAAGATTTTCTAGATTTGCTTCAGTCCTCGCATTGTTATTACCCAGAAATATACACTGTCCAAAGAACGACCGAGTCGAATTCTTTAGTCTGATTCGCACATACCCCTTATCACGGTAGAATATTTTTATTTTCTTAATTCCGTGTAAGACCTCTTCGATCGGAAAGCTTTCGATGCAGGAAAACTTTTGCAGAAATCAAAAACCAATCAAAATATTAACCGAAAGTCACCAATAGGAAAATAAAATAGGTCCTGAAGGAAACCACATTTGCGTTATATCGTTGTAATAATTTAAGACAAGAATGGAATTTATTATGTGCTCCATGAAACTGCTTGCAGTGACCGTCCATAGTCGTGGATAAAAAAGTAATAAAAAGTCCTGTTCACTCTGATAGCTAGTTTATGAACGGTGATTAATATTCACTTACAAAATAAACGAAAGGTCTGCGAGATATCAAAGAGTGATGTCGCGAATTTGAAGCGATTGAACGCCCTTGCCCTACATGGAAGGTTACAACTCAGAAAGTCTTAATTAATGATGGTGCCAAAAGTGATGCATTCGCATCGTTGTCAAAGTACTAAGTATTGTTAAAGAGAAGTTTTCAAAAGTATATTGGCACAAATTCTGAAATAAAGTTTACAAACACTAGTTTTCTACTTTGGCATTGAAATCTCATTGGATGATTGTGAAACCAACACCTTTTGCATTACGCTTTCCAGTTTCATATCGAATTGTTCGACTTTTTCGCTTGATCTTCCTGTGTTTGACCAACTTTATTGATCATGTCCACTCGAAGAATTAGCTAAGTAAAGCGAGAAGATACAATGTTGCAGGTGACTTCAAAAAGCACAACTCTCTTCTTCATGGTAAATCCTACACGAATGACCGATCCAGGTTATCCTACGCTTTCACAATCACTCTTTCCTTGTTCAGTAAGTTCAGCGCATGTTCGGATTTGTGCACACGCTTATTGCATCTGGTTTGAATTTTACGTCTGCGCGAAACAGATATCAACAAGCGCGTGCCACGACAGTTTTGTTGTTGTGGTTACCATTAAGATATTGCTGATATCCTTTTACCGTTTGCCGGTCGCGTCTTTAACATAACCGAATTGTCAGTAATCCTAGTCATTGCCAAGACAACGCGGTTCCCTGAACCTACGATGTAGTATTCTTACGTGCATAACTTGTTTTTGGTGAGTTCTGTAGACAATTTATTCAGGGTGACCACCTTCGTGTATACGATTTCAACAAACGAGGCATAACACTTAATCGGCTGGTTTGGAAATGACGAGCTAATCGAACGCTTCTCACGACTCGTAGTATTTGTCTAAAGTAACCTATTCCATGTTATGAGTTCAATTCTGAAAATGCCGAGAAGCAGCAGCGCGCATGAAAGAGCCTTGGTGAAACGACCCTTAAGCGAGTCGGTTATGCGATGATGGACAGAAGGCGGATAGTGACACATGTGTCTGTCATTAAAGAAAACGTCGTCTTCCCAGGGTCAGAACCACAGATTACGCGGCTCTACGGTAACAAAGGTTGTGGCTAAAGAGAGGATATGATTAGAAGGGTTCAAAGATTACCGGCTATTTGACGAATTTTCCATAGTGAAGCTTATGCGGACAAGCTTCCTCAGCGGAATCTCGCCATGGACATCAGGAGAGACATCTATGCAGACTGGCATCATCTTGGTAGAACCATCAAGGCTATCATCCAGTCATCTAGCCGAGCGGCATTGTCGACAAGGAAAGAGCTCATTGGGAAAAGTGATAGAGAACAGAATTCGGAAGAGCCAGGACAAATATAAAAGCTGTAAGTTAATAGTTGCCGCATTAGCAAGAATTGGGTTAAGGGCACGGAAAGGGGTACTCTAGTAACAAACCAGATTCTGGTAGCACAAAAGATAAATGATGAACAAAATTCACGGATTGCTATGGCATGAAAGCGATTTACACAAGATTCTATAACTACCAATTAATTCTATGCAAATAACTTCTCAGAGGAAAAGTATGCCGGAAACTACCTTGTACTACCTCCTTGAAATCCATTGTTACGTCAGCTAAGACGAATTAGAGTGTGCAGTCGTTATTGTCAAGAGTGGCAAATGCCTTGACAGGAATGGCATAAAACTGAAACATCTCAAAGTTAAGAAAAATGGCCCTGCTTACAGCTTTAGTTGAACGATTTGCAGACTGTATCAGACTGAAGAAGACGGCAGCAGCATGGAAGGGCTTTTCGACGATTCTCCTATTCAAGGAAAGTGATGCTGAGGACCTTCAGAACTACAGACACAAGTCTACAAGGTCTTCACCTGAATCATCCTCAACCGCATCTAGGGAAGTGTAGGACTGCTCATTAGTAGAGAACATGCCTGTTTCCGAAAGGGGTCCTCCACCATGGACCACCTTTGCGTCGTGAAGCATTTAGCGGACTAATGCATTGATTACAGATTCACATGTGCTACGCATTCATCAACATCAGAAGTCGTTTGGTTCAGTTCAGCTGAATGCTACACTGAACGCCCTGCGCGATTGCGGTATTGACACAATCTACGTCGACCTGGTCAAGGAACTGAATACTGACACCACAATCGATATCAAGCCGTTCAAGGAACCGTATCGAATCAGCGTCATAAGGGAAGCACGCCGAGGAGACACCATATCTCATAAGCTTTTCGCAAAGGCGCTAGAATCCATCCTTTATCGTCTGAACTGAGGCGGGCACACTAACATCTTCTCGTTACAGACGACGTCATCATTTTCGCCAAAGACCCGTTGGAATTCAAAACACTGATTGGACCGCTACAGAGGAAGTCACGTACCATCGGTATAGAGATGAATATCTCCGCACGAAAATGACTGCGAGACGATCACTGCCAAGCTGGTACCATATCCCGTGACGGAAAAGAAGTGAAAATGTTCGCTTGCTGCGTATACCTCGGAAATTTAATAGATTTCAATAACTGCATCAACGGGAGGATGAGCAGAAACAGAATAGCGGCATGGGCACGCTTCAGTCAAATCAAAATGTCGCTTTTGATGAGGAGTTGCCGTTTCCATGACGAAAGAGCTGTTCTACTCTGCCAAACAAACCACCGAGATTTATGGCATGAAGTTCTGATCTGTCACTAAGGTTGAAGAAAGCTGATGTTGCGCAAATGGTGAAGGAAAGAAAAATATGTGAGCTCCCTCTTCGACACCATGTTATAAAGGCGATAGTTCAGTGCCGGATGCAATTTTTGCAAGCACCACTACGGTGGGATGATGGGCAGGCCATATGGTTTCCCCGAAGAGCAATAGATGGATATCCAAGGTTACTGAATTAAGGTCCTCGGCAAGACCCGTCAGCTCGAATGTCGACCATAACGCTGGGACGACCCACTGACGAAGCTGTTTTATCAAAGGTGGAAGCGAAGAACACAAAACCGTGAAGAGCATCGGAACATCAATTTGCATGTGTGTGATACGCCCGCAGGCGAAAACAAGTCGAACAGAAAGATAGAAAGAAGAAGGAAATGCTGATTTACTGAAATAAATCACCTAAAAGCGCGATCCAATTATAGCAAGTCAGGAAAGAGTCCACGAGAACGACACCACGAGTGCTTAAAGTCGGAAATTGGAACAAATCCTCACTCAGAGGAAAAGAACAAGAGTTAGTTCATGAGGCCATAAAATACAAACTCGACATTATCGGACTCTCGTCAACAAAACGCCCAGGCTCTGGACTCCTGAACCTCAATGGATGGAAGCTGTTCTACTC